ATTTTCATTAAAGATGGCGTCACTTTGGTCTTGTTATCAGTCGACCTTGTCTGATATGACCACATGATAGGTTGAGGTTTCTTCGCCACACAGATACCGTCCAAGTTATCAGGTGAATCGTGCAGCCGAACAAAGGCGGATTCACATAATAACTGCAACGCCATTTCCGAAGACAGGTCCTTCCTCACGGGAAGATTTGGTATCAGCGATGAAAAATATTCATCTAGTTCCGTGGCTCCGTACGGACCGATGCCTAGGCACTGGTACCAAAGCAGAAACAATTTCAGTCCGAACCGCCTGACTTCCAGGAAACTCTGCGGGTGCAACAAACGCTTCAAACAGTACGCAATACAGTTATATTGCCAACGCTTACTCACAAGTTCAGGCAAGTAACAGAACAACGTCTCTAGTATCCACAAAGCGTACTCCAGTTCGTTCATATTCGCACGAACGCCAGGCGCATGGGCAGGCAAATCGATCTGGAAAAACATATCCTGAAAAAGTTGGAAGCTTTCAAAGTAGTGTTCTTCGAAAAAAGCTTTTCGCTTGTCCGGCTCGGCCGTATTTTCGTATATGAACTGCAAGCGCCGATACCGCGAGCTGGTATCCCTTTTGAGATCCAGAAAGCGAGCCACCGACGTCGGAAGATCAAGTCGCGATCGTCTGGACGCAAACATTCTGTAATTCTATAAAGAAAATTTTCTTTGAACACCACCACCAATAAGGGGTTAAAATGTCGGATTTCTTGGTCAGTGGTTTTTTCAATTGCAGAGTTGATCCTTCATCGCACAACTGTTAGTTCTGAGAATGCTGATCCCTAGGCATGAATGTAGGCCAGAACTATCAAATAAACACGTTACTCAACAGTTGCTACGTGCTGATCCTAAGATGAACCAACTGCTTCCTCATTTGTACGTACATTTGTGTTAAATCTAAAGTTACGCACAAAGTTTTCGTTGTTTATACCTAAACTTAAGTGAAGGGGCACAGCGATACCATTCGGTAGAGTCACAACTACGACAGCACCTAATATAACACACCCATACACCGTTTAGAAAAAACTTACATTTCTTCTTTATACGAAGAATCCGGATACACGCTCAGTATTCAACCAAAGTAACAACATAATTCCGACACTTGTTCCTAAAATGCAAAAAATCATCATTGTTGCAACCATGAAATCAAAATGTTTGTGCCCTACCGGCACATCACATGAAAAACTTTAAACTAAACGGAACTACCACATTCTATAGTTGTATGTAAACAAAAAATAAAATCAGTATTCAAACTTCAGCTGTATGCTTCTGTTTCCATGACGAAAAAACTGATAAGTTCGCTATGAGTTTTTTGGCGGAAAGAACTCATAATTACGTTAGGTGCATATTAAGTTACGTCGTAGGCTCACGATGCATATCAGTGAGATAAATAACAAATAACAAAAATCTATTTATCTGCATGACAGTTTCAATTCTTTCATTTTTGCAGCGCGACAAACAAGGAAAAATTAATTCATTAAAATCAACGATAATCTTTGCAGGTTATAAGTTGCCGGATTTTCAGGCAACCGAATTATTTAATCGCCAGACAAGTGAGTGTGTGATTCGCCATTACAGAATTCAATGGACAACAAAAGCTGACATGAATCTACCCGCCAGAATGAATGATCACTTTCAGAATGGCTTAACATGAAAGATGGAGCCGTTCAAGAGGAATCGATCTCATTGTTGTCATTCAGTAAGTTAAATTATCTCATGCGCAGCAACACTTTTAACCTTGAGTGTTCAGATCATATCGAACTGTAAAGCGACTCCGTAAATGCCTCACCGAGACTGGCCAATAAGAGATGGAGCAAGAGATGAGCTACAGGTCAACACTAGAAAGACAAAGCTTATGAGGGATCAAGCTGCGAGCAACTTCGGGACATTGGGGAACAGTGGAGAGAGAAGGCGGAGCATCAGAAGTATGTTGGAACAGTTATGGCTAATGATAGCAACACTGCTCCAGAAAACGACACCCACACTAGACTGGTGTCAGTTAAGTGTGGAAAGTCATATAAAATTTAGCAAGACGAAGTAGAAGAATATTATCATTGACCTGTTTCGACCCACAGCTGAATGAAGGAAGGCCACTTCAAGATTCAGTCAAACTTTTGTATTCGAAGGTTCTCATCCACGTTGACGCAACTAACTTCCTCAACTCATGCTGCCACCGATCTTGAGGTCTTCCTACAGGCCGTTTACTCACCACTGGAGGTAAATCGAAGGTCTCAATACGGTCGGTTTTTACTGCAACTTGACCTGCCCATAGCCACTTCAATTTCTTTAATCAAACAATCAGATGGTAGACTCTTGTTGTGCTCTTAGCCATTCAATCATTTTCCTATTTTCTTGTTATTCCCAAATACATGCTTCCGTGTTGCGCTATATGGTCCACGGTACAGTTTGCGAATAAATTTCAGGCTGAGGGTCTATATTTCTCATCCATACGTTAGCAATGGATGCACACATTGACAGAACACCTTCTTTCAAGATCACGGGCAGTTTCCCGATGAAGAACACTATTAATCTTCAAAAAACGTTCCATGCCAGATTAATTCATTTTTTGATTTCACCATGGTCGGTTATCCGCTTCAGAGATAAGCTGTTCCAGACAGAAGCAGTTTCGTACGTACTTCTTCAAGTTTTAGTCCGCCGAAATCAACAGTTCAATGAAATTATTAAACATGACCTGAATGTTCTTCTGATTCATTTTCAGACGTTTTGAGTCAGCTTCTGAGTTCTTGTTTGTAATTCTTCCGGTGACCTTAAGAGGATCAGAATGTCGTCCTCAAACCGTAAGAGGCATCAGTAGTGCACACTTTATGTTCAACACTTGATTTTCCCAATGAGGTATCCTAAAAACCTCTTCTAGGGCTGAACTAGTTTGTCTCCGCGAATCTTCATAGTAGCAGTTGTTTCCTTGCAAACCAAGGCGGTCACGTGTCTGCATTTTTTCTCGATGCCCTGGCTCCTCAATTAAGCCTGCACAGATCGGATGCATACTGAGGCAAAAGCCTTCGAAGC